CCAAATCCCAACAGCGTAAACTATCGGTTCATAGTCGCCGTGTCCTCAAACTTTGGTTGGATTGGCTCAAAGTTTCCCCTCCTCTTCGGACCATGCGGCCACCGCTTCAGGTTCAGCTCCACGCATCAGCAGATGCCTCTGCCCAAGGGAATTCATTTCAAGTTGGTGGTCTTATCGAAGCAGGTTCAACTGTTTTCTGGTTCTCTGAACAATGGAAGGTCCAAGATGTTAAGGCTCTGGACATTCCCGTTCGTCCGGATGCACAAAGAGATATTGCATGTTATGAGACTTTAGCTCAAGGGTTTCTTGTTCTATTGTGCCTGGCTATTTGCCCAATGGCCTGCATTCCACTGCGTTTCCAAAGTCTTAGTGACAATGTTGCAGCGGAATCTGCCGTAACAAGCTTTTTACAACAGCTGCTCCGCTTTGTTACTTCGTTGAGCATTTAGCTTCCATTCTTGTAACTGAGCGCATCAGTTGTGATATCTCCCACATTCCCGGTCCATTGAATCTAGATGCAGACCTTCTGAGTCGATGGGACATGACGACAGCTCTCCCCTCGAAGTTCGATGCCACGCATAGGCATCGCATGCGCAAGGCTTCTTTCGGTTTCACAGATCAGTCACGATCTCTCCGGCTAGCTTCCCAATCCATTGGCCTCTGTCACGGCCATGATAGAACACAGTACCATTTGTACTGCCAACTTCCACTCAGTGCCATTTGGGTTTGATTTCGACCGAGTGTTGTTGGAAATGCTTTCGGTCTGATATCCCAACAACCCTCGACAGAGTTTGGCAGTGAAAATGGTGCTGATGCGTTGTGGTGAGAGAGAGAGAGAGGAGCATGTTGTATCTAGTTGAACATTGTAGGTATCTCTAGAACCTTTACGTTTCTTTCGGTTTTTTTACGTCCCTTTACTAATTTTTGTGATGATTGCTATTTAACCTCATGCTCAGGTTTTGTTCGGGGATTGGATCGCACTTTGTTGTTGGGGATTGGATAACCAGTGTTTATATTCATGATTTTAGTTTTAGTTCGGGCAGGCAATCTTCTATCAATGATGGAAAACTAAATTTTTTATCGTGGTTACAACGGCGTCTCGTTTGACGCTAGGTTTCAGTAGTAGGTTAGGTTTTTGAGTTGCAAAACTTGGCAGGGAGGCCGCGACCAGTTGCGTCAGTGTTGTGCCGTTTTTCGTTTGTTTTTTACATTTGACGCCAAATTTGTCGATGTCTTCAGAGGTCTTTCCAGTTTTCAAACCTCTTTTTTTGTAGTTCCGCAATCCTCGTTTTGCATCGTTATGTGGAATTAGTTGGGGGACACAAGGCTTGCTCTGGGCCAGTGTGGCATTGGACATGTTAACATCTACAAAGGGTGTCCTGCTTAAACTGTGCTTTTACCATGAGGGCCTCATGAGGGGAACACAAGGAAACTCTGCCAATGTCTGCTGACTTCTTTTGTTGCTCACACTTGTTCTGAGAACCACTTTGTGTGCAGAGTGCCATAAAAAGGTGTAGCTTCACACAGAGAGTGTGGCTCCAAGAAAGACTGCATTTCGGATGAGTGGGTTGTTCACATCAAGAATGCCTTTCACGTAGGGAGCGTGTTTCACTAAAAAAATTTCTTTCACGTAGAGAGAGAGAGAGAGAGAGCGCGCGTTTGAGGCATCAAATGCCGATGTTGCTCCATTGGGTGCCCTCCGAACCAGACTTGTTGTTGCATGGTGTGTGGTGAGGCTTTATCGGCTCGCAAAGGGTTGTGGGCACATGGTTTGGCATGGTGGTCCGGTGGCCATTGCCATGGGTAATGCGCCGATGCGTCCCTTCCATGCGGCTTGGCCATGGATCGCTAGTTGGGGCATGAATGCTTTTTGACGGTGATTGCTGAGGTGTTGCATGAGTTGGTGACCAGTGTGAAAGCACATCATGGTTAAATCCACACAGTTCTTTGGCATGAGGATCTGTGGGGCTGACTTTTTGAACTTGTTTGCCCATAGTGCCTTGGCCACCAGACAGTCTTGTGCGCTGACAGGTCGATGTGATTCCAGTTGTGTTTCAGAACGATTACGGATTCCAGATCTGAGTCACAAGATGTTGCTATGCACTGCCATATGTGTGTGGAAAGCAAGATTCTTGAAACCTTTAGTGTTGGCAACTAACGGAAGGTCTTCCAAAGTTAATTCACTCACAAGTCGTCGTCTCAAGGCTTGGGGCTGTTTGTCAGGCACCACCAAGTACATTAATATCAGAGAGACGCGATTCGGTGTCTTGGCCAAGAGAAATCCATTGAAATCCACTACCTTTATGTTGTGCCAAATTTGCCAATGAAATTCAACGGGTGCGGAACACTGTGACTTAGCTGCGAACTCTCGATCAATATTGATTTTCCTGTTGTATTTTGAATGTTTATATCTATATATATAGAAACTTTATATAACTTGATGATATTGCATCGAATTGACCACCAATCTTTTGCAAACAAGTGTCGGGACTTGACCAGGTTTGCCTCACTATGGCTTGATGTTTCTGATTGCGATGTACCTTTTGGTGTACCAGCTGATTGGGAAGTTAGGTGGGGAGACGCACATGGCGGGTCAGAGAGCGAACCAACGTTGGGACTTGAGCAAGTCAGAACGACAGTCTAATGGGCCTCCAACCTAGAAGCGATGGCCTTCCTAGCAACAGCCAACTGCCACATTTGCTCCATGGCTGCGCCACGGGCAGGCTACTTGAAGTTCAACGATGCCCCAAACACAGTGCGTTTCACTCTCCAAGAGTGGCCCGTTTGTGCAAGATGTTTTCCGTTTGTTGGTTCAAGCATGTGAGGTCGAATCTACGGCGTCAATTGCGAAAAGACCCTTACTGTACAGCCCTGGGTTTTGAATTGGAAGTTTGGAATCAAAGGCAGGGGTTCTGATTGTTCCAAGACAATACTTGACTTTCAATCATTGGACTTCATACGTTACATTGAAAAGGTGAGACTCACATGTTTCTGCGGTTTGTTAACCATTGTCGTCGTACCCTCACGTTCAATCAGCACACGCTTGGAGTACATTAGCAAGATATAGCAAGATAGGACCTGAGCCTGAGTTCTATTTTGTTTGTTTCTAGAGCTGAGGTGATAGTTGATGGATGGTTGGGGGTATTCGGATGAAAAGGCCAGAGATCTAATTCTTGTTTTTGTTAAATACGAACGAAGCATTTGCCAAAGCAGAATATGGTGCTCCAAGATTGCTTTCCCAAAGGTGGCGTGACATTGAACGTTGATATGTTTAACCAAGCCTTGGGCTTTCTGGAACGCATCCACCACCTGAACATCCGTTCAACCTGCGTGTCGGCCAAGGCCGACGGGTTGCAATCCCGACACTGGCTGCCATCAGGTGCGGCTCGTTGTCGAATGCGGCTCCCAGATGGTCAACAAATTTCGATTCGTTACCAATCTCCAAGTGAAATTGTCGCGCACTCCGGGTGTTTGAGCACATCCAACATCGCAAAAGGGTCACCCTTAACCCGTTTGATACCTATGTACAACACAAGATCAACAGAAAACTTTCAGATAAGACACGTAAGCTCATTGCACTCAATCTCACCGGTGGTTATCAGACTGGTGCCGTCAAGTCCCTCTGGGACTCTACTCATTCCATGCAATGTCCTTATTGTGAACAACCCGACACGCATTCGCATCGCCAACTTGAGTGTGCCCATTTTCAACATCTACGAGACCAACATCCAGATGCCATTCGTCTCCTCCAGGAATTCCCAAGCCTACTTTGGTTCCCACTGGCTACCATGCATGCAAAACAACCAATCTACAATTTGCTAAAGGCGGATCGACAAGGTCCTTTCCTCGATATTCCTAATATTGTGAACACACCCCATTTTGTGTTCTATACAGATGAAAGCTGTGACAAGCCCAAATTCCAAAACTGCTGTCGTGCCGCATGGGTCGTGGTGCAACATGTCCGTAATCCCCAGGACCCATCCATTGATGATTTTGTCGTGACTCAGAGTTCACAGGTTGCTGGTACACAGTGCCTGGCTTGCACAGTTGTTTACACAATTATATCCGAATAAGTTTATGTCCATCCATACAGATTCTGATTTTGCATTTCATCTTGTCGAAGCCATTTCAAATCACACACTCGACCCCAAAATTTTTCAGAAAGCACCCGCTGATCTGATTCACCAGCTACAACGTTTTTGGAACCCCCTCTTCCATCAAATTAAAAAAGTGAAATCACATCGTCAATTAGAAGATGCTGAAAATCCAGAGGACCTATACACAATCTTAGGCAATGACCTATCCGATAGGGTTGCAAAACAAATTAATCAGATGGACATGCCACATTTCCAAGACGCTGCAGATTCGATTTTTGAACATACGAATAAACAAATGGATGCATTGCTCACAATCTATCGATATCTCGCTGAACTAAACGCCCTCCACTCCAGTTTGAAAATTGAAAAAGAAAGGGACGCCGCGACAACGCATCAGTTCAATACATTGGATGCCTACACAAGTTTCCAGTCCGCATTGTGCCAATGGGATGTAGGGCCTGATTGCTGGGTCTTAGAAACAGATTTACCAGAGTTACCAGAGATAATCGCACAAGGTTGCCCAGTGGGCGCAACTGTAGCATACAAGGTGTGGCAGATGTTCCGGACATTTCGCTGGCGCCCACACAATTTACTGTACCAGTAACTCAAGGTGACTTTGGATTTTCCTGGTACGAATTGACCCTGTAATTTGCACTATATTCGGGTCCTTGCCAATTTGGATTTAAAACTCCGAACATAAACTGCCCAAACCATATGCGTTTGACACTCCAGAAGCCAAAATTCAGCCAGACTCTAAACGATGTTTGTGCTCGACATAAAAAGACCAATGCTAGTCATTCTTTAAGGTACCCCTAACATGTAACAGCATTCACACATGTACATTCGATGTGTCGTTCGGTTCACCTAGAATGTAAAACACATTCGTCCCGACCGACGCTACTTGGCTCAAGGAAAATCGGTGCCACGCCGCTTTCCTTCAGGGCGCCGTGTTACCTGACCTGTGGTCGGGTGCGCTTTCGTTGCTTTCGCTTCCGCGTCCGACACCTGCCTTTCGTTCGTTCGATCGCCGCCGTGCCTTCGTTCGTTCAGCCTCTCGTTAGTCACGGGTACTCGTCCTTCGGACTCGCCCCGTGCACTTGTTCGTGGAAGTAGAGCCGCAAGGGATCTAGCTTACGTACTTCTTTCGCCGTTTGTCGTTAAGTAGTATAAGTTGGGCAATCCCTTATCTACCCGGTGGACTAGCCAATTCATTCGTTATCAGCCGTATCGCTTCAGACACGGAAGGTCCCATTGCCCCCATTGTAGCTCGCTTCTCACTCTTGCGACCTACAGTAATGGGACGTGTCCAACCTCCACCACCAGAGGGTGCTGCTTCGTCTGCATCTTCAACACCGGCCGCCGCCGCGGCCGCAGCACCGGTGGAGAGGCCTCAGAACCAAGAAGCTCCTGTAGGAAACGTTTTGCTAAACTAGTGGAAGAAGAACGTGCAGACCTCCTTGCCAAAAGGAAGGAAGGCATCACGGTCGAAGAGCTACCCGCTCGAGAACCAGAGACTGCACCACCCACTGATTCTTCTAAAGAAGCCACTGAGGAAGAGTCACACCTCGATTTGGATGATCCCGAAATGCAGACACAGTTGCATCGTCATATCAGCACCTGTGATGAGATTCCTGATTTGTGGGCCTCCATCCCATGCACATCAGGGTCTCCATGGCAAAGGGTAAATTGCATGAAAGGGGTGCTTAAATTCATGAAAAGGCATGCGCAACAGGTGAAGGAATCTATGCGTTTGTTTTCTGAGTTTGCCAAGAACGCAGAGCTCGCATTTGCTTGTCAGGGCACTGTGACCTTTGAATGGCCAAAGGGATGTGAAAGCTGGCAGAGGCCAGATGTGAAACAATTCTTCGAGCATCACCCTGAATTCATGCCAGTCGAATTTGACGGGTGTGCTGTTGGTGTTCAATCAACCAAGGGTCGTCCTATCAAGAAAAGATGGCGTCTCATGACCACCAGTAAGGCCATCGTAGATATGTTTTCACAGTTTCAATGTCCCCACAAGCCACATGAACACGACCATGCAGTAGGCTCCCAAACAGCTCGTACAGCATTCTACCCAAGACAGATGATTGTTCAGATTGCTAAGGCCTTGTATCCTAACATGACCCATTCCCCTGTTGCCCCAGCCATGCCATGTCTTCCATGTAAACATGATTTTGAGCATAGGGAGAAAGAGCAGGCGTTGAAGCGTGTGTCCGCCCTCTCAGGGATTGATGCAATGGCCATTGCCGTCGAAACAGGCGAGACTGTTGATAAAATGGTAGAGGGCCTGATGGACATAAGTGCGCTTATGCACGAGGCATACCAAATCCCCCGAACCAAGAAAGGTGAGGAAGAGGTGTCAGCGATGGTTACCAAATTGCTTAGTCGCACTGAAATGCTGAACGATCCTGAAGCCTTGCAAAAGGTGAAGGACGAAGCCGGTGGCTTAGTCAACGAGGGCACGTGGGAGTACGAGTCCGTTTGTGAAAAAGAGCATGTCCGTGCGAGGCGAAAGCCTCCGGCGTTTCAGTACACTTTGGCAAGCTGATGACGATCGCGTCCATCAAATTTTACGAACTTGCGAAAGAGCTTCAAAAGAAAAAGGGTAGAATAGTCTACCGTGGGGACTGCGCCAAAGATGAATATGGCGCAGCGGCTGTATATGAGGAATTGGGCGCCAACCCAACCTCTGTGCAAGGGCTCAATGCTTGCTTAGCGTACGGTAGCCTACCAGGCAACCTACGGCCGCAGACGCCGTCAAGGCCTATGTGCAAGCAACGCTCAAATCTAAGTATAAAACCTGGATTGAGCTACCCCCCGAATTAAGGCCGGCGTGGTGGAAGAACAAATTTGTTCAAACCGTCGTTCTCCTGGTGAAAGCTCTCTACAGACACCCTGACGCGGGTGGAATGTGGGAGCAACACCTAAAACAGATCCTTAAGAAGATGGGAGGCGAGGAAATCACCGAATTCCCCGGTAATCGGTCCTCGCGACCAACACGATAAGTTCTGGTCTGAAATTACTTCTGCGGTTAACGTTGAACCGCCTGAACCCATCTATCGGATCTTAGGGAGGCACCGAGACCGCCGCCTTGCGTAGTCTTCGACATGCAGGACTACGCGCAGCTGACTATTGACCTCTACAAGTCAGTAGCCGGTGTGGATAAAGTGAAGCCCGCACAGACACCATTCCTAGTGGATGGCATTGAGGGGAGCTTGCTCCCAAGGCATGCTCAATCTTGATGAAAGCTTTGTGGCTCGCCAGATTAGCACGCCCAGATATATTCAAATCCATCAACGATTTAGCAACTAAAGTGCAGAAGTGGACACGTGTCCACGATAAGAAACTGCTCCGGCTTATACAGTACTTGCAGCACTCGCTAGATTACCGTCTAACCGCCGTCTGCGAGATGATGCTGATGAGTTGTGGCTCGAACTGTTCGTTGATGCCGACTTTGGCGGTGACCAGCAGGACGTCAGGTCTACCTCAGGTGGCTATTTGGTATTGAGAGGCCCTGATACCCATTTCCCGCTTGCATGGGTGTCTAAACGCCAAACCTCAACGTCAAGGTCTACCACCGAGTCCGAGGTTGTCAGTCTCGCATATTCGTTGTATCAAGAAGGACTTCCAGCATTACAACTGTGGGACAAGCTACTTGGTCGAGCCGTTAACCTCGTAATCCAAGACGACAACCAAGCAACTATACTCGTGGTAAGAAAAGGGTCTCTCCAAAACTCCGACACATAAGCCGTACCCATAAAATAAGTTTAAGTTCGTTAAGAGAGTGTATCGACGATCCAGCCGTAGAGATTAAATATGTCGACACGAACGAGCAAGCAGCCGATATATTCACTGAAGCATTGCCTCCACAAAAGTGGTTCAAAGCTTTGTGTCTGCTCGGAATTCGTACCGACCTCAAACATTTAGTCCCATCTAAAACGGACCGAAGCATTTCGACCAGTTCGTAGCTTCGTAGATCGTCGAAACCGCTGCCGCCCGGCGCGGTAATTCGTGCATGTACAAAGGAATGCTGCCCCACAACGGGGAGGGGGAGTCATTTTTTGAGGCACCCCTAACATGTAACAGCATTCACACATGTACATTCGATGTGTCGTTCGGTTCACCTAGAATGTAAAACGCATTCGTCCCGACCAACGCTACTTGGCTCAAGGAAAATCGGTGCCACGCCACTTTCCTTCAGGGCGCCGTGTTACCTGACCTGTGGTCGGGTGCGCTTTCGTTGCTTTCGCTTCCGCGTCTGACACCTGCCTTTCGTTCGTTCGATCGCCGCCGTGCCTTCGTTCGTTCGGCCTCTCGTTAGTCACGGGTACTCGTCCTTCGGACTCGCCCCGTGCACTTGTTCGTGGAAGTAGAGCCGCAAGGGATCTAGCTTACTTCTTTCACCGCTTGCCGTTAAGTAGTATAAGTTGGGCAATCCCTTATCTACCCGGCGGACTAGCCAATTCATTATGCTAGCTCATTTGCTTGGTTAGGACTTCACAGAATCTTGGTTGGGGCAATTTCCGCGCGACCGCACTTGCCATATGCAGATTTGCTTATGCAAAATGTGCAAGCCTATGCCTCGCTACCGAATCAGTCCTACACCTTGAATGTACGTGTTGTACCATCCATCATTCCGCACGCTACTTTGTGGCCCAATCCGCCATATAGTGATATCTCTTATGACAAACGTCATAATCTCTGCCAGAAAATTAAAAAGTGCATTCGCCTAAAACAGTCGCTTGAGCTCATCGATGTACCGAATTAGATGAAAACACACACACTGTGTCTTACACCGGTGTTCGATGAATGATGGTCGCATGTGTTGTAGATACCCATGTTCTGCCGTACATACACACCCTCTAGCACCCCACAATGTGGAAGGGCTACTGAGGGGCGAAAAATGGATCGATCGCGAGTTGGTGTGGAACATGCAATTTGTTATTTTTGGAGAAACAAATATCAAAGGCCTCCCTAATAGCGATGGCCTTGATGCTTGAGTGTGACCTTATTGACCTTTGTCAGGACAACTTCGCCTCCTTGAGCCAGTTGCACTGCGCTCAGAATTCGGTGATTGCCAAAAAGACACATCGTCGTAAGAAACATCGTCCCTGGGTTGGGCCGGTTTGGATCCCAAAGAAGGAAAAATTTCAGGATTGGAATCGAAGTATGTAAAGGCGAATGAGGTGGAGAGGAAACACATCCGAGAATGATATGCATCCGTGCTCACGGTGAACGCTCAGGGGTGAAGCCATACACCGATTCCGAAATGCCGGTTGTTGCGCGAGGTGCCATCACCGCAGCTTTAGCGACAACTGTACCTGGCTCAGGGAAAGAAGGGACAAAGACATGCCTGTCACTGTGGTCTGTCAGGTCTGTCAGGTCCGTCAGGTCCATTGGAACCCGATTCAACTTTCCGGCTTCACGGCTGGGTGAAAAGCTGCATGGCCGTTTCTTACGAGGTACGGATTCCTCGCGAGAGAGCTCCGGTGCCTTCATTCCTGAGATTCTGTCCGACATCGTCCTTTGGCGGTTGATGTATATAATTGATATATATATATATATTATTTATAAGTGAGAATAATTGAGATAAGAGTGCTTGGCTGGGTGTTTGAGAAAGCGCCATAAGAACCCTTTTGAACTCTTCGAGCTTGCACTAGCTTTGGATAGAGGTTGAGGCAGATCCGGCAGCTCTCGCGTGCACTCTATCAACTTCCGACTTGTTCTCTGCGAGAGACGTGGCCTTGCCCTAGGAGCACCAGTCGTTGAGCATATGCTTCAATTCTTATTACTCTGCAGCCAGCAACTGCGATGATCCCTGGCTCATACAGAAGGCAAGGCAGGATTTGGAATCTTGATGCCAGACCCTGTGGGTAGAGAGAACAGTCTGTGTGAACCTTTTGGGGCTAGGACCGAGAGACATTTGGATCATTGAAATTTGGCTAAAACTGTTGACAGTATCTCGTATCTATGTCAATGTTTGTTGTAGCAGGGAAAGAAGCGCTTCCACTTTGTTGGGCAGGCGTAAAGTCCATAATTCATCAATAGGAATTGGGCATAGAGTTTAAAACGCTCCAAAGAACAAAGGTCAATCCATGTGACCAGAGCCCACAAGTGATGCAGCATGTTTTCACCTGACCAGGACGCATCACTTGCTGGTTCAAAACTTTTGGGTTCCTGAGACTGTTTCTTAGTGGTTTGCCGTTCATGACCTGGAAAAGGAACAGTCAGACAAGTGTTGGAATTTGGAAACCAGTGGCTATACTGAAGCCACACTTTGCTCTCCAACCAGCCATGCCTGACCCTGCTGCCCGTGCGTCACTTCATTTTCTGTGCTCCCAAGCCGGGCTTAGCTTGAAGGACCATTCGGTGACATCCCCAAAGTCCGGGCTCGCCACGACCTCCCAAATGCAGGTCGGGCTCGGGTTTCGGTGAAACTTCACATTGCAACGCTGAAAGTTTCCCCAAATCTGGATCTGCAGGGAGTGTCAGCACGACAAGTGAGTCAATGAAATGGCTAGCTGACCCGGTGTTTGGCATTGCCGCCTGGCTGGTGCTCCAACCGGTCTCAGGGGATGCTCTTTGACAATGGGAATGATGGAGACAAGGAGCTCAGCTGATCTGGTTTAAGTTTGCTTTGTTTTGCTTTGTTTGCTGTTTGGAAAGCCTGGAGTGGAGAGATGGTAGATGTAGATGAAATGTTTTTCTATTTTGTCATACTTGTTTGCAGATCATCAGGTTGGAATGGTAGATTTGAGCAGGAGTAATTTATACCACATTGTACCTTGGCACTCAATTGCCTCCCACAGCCTTCCCCAAGCTATGCCGCAGCAATCCCAAAGCAGTAACGGCGCAGGAGGGTGGGAGCAGCACAGATAATGCACCTTGGGCAGCAAGAACAGCTGATGAACCACAAATAGTATGGTTTACTGCTGTTGAAGATGCTGGCAACTAGTAAGTCCTTCCACTAAGGGATGCTTTTTCCTGGAGTCCGTAAGGAATTGTACAAACTGGTCTCAGTCAGGAAGAGTATTCACCGTGAGTCACGGGTAGTTATTGCTGTGTGGTTTGCCACAAAGCTTGGAATTGGATCAAGAGCAATCCCAGTGCCTCAAGATGTCGTTTTTGCAAGCGACCCCAAGCAAAGTGCGCTGCATACATTTCACATGTCAAACGACTTGAGGTCCATGAAACCTGATTTACACAGCTGGGCCTGTGCGTTTTGCAAACCAAGCACTTCCAAAGACCACGTGCTTCGACATACCAAAACGAAGCTTTCGTGCGGGGCTTCTCTCAAATTACAACAGCTACAGCTCAAAGTTCAGGATTTACCGCGCCCGCCATGACATTTGAGCCCGCCAACCAGAGTATTGTGCCCCCCCACGAGCACTGCAAAAAGAATAACGCACCTTCGATCTCCTGCGCTTGCCATGACAAGTCGGCTCAAGACCTCCAAGACATGTCGGCATGAACTGCACCGGCCACGAGAATTAACCTCCGACGACCGCTAAGTCCAAACATGTGCACGGTACCACAACAAGAACCACACGCCCACTCGGACAGGCATTTTGTGCAAGACTTTCGTGGCAAACGCAACTTCGTTGACAGTTGTGGAAAAAAGAGCGCGCGTTTTCAGAGCACCTCAATTGGACACCGCTGTTAACTTCGACCGTAAGAGCTCCTTCGCCACCAGCTTGGGGAAGGTGGGAAGGTAGCGTTCTTTTGGTAGCGTTCTTTAAGGTGACAAAGCTTGACATATCGTGTCATGAGATCGCCCAAAGCGCTTTTGTTCTTTCTTTAGTGCTTTAGTCTCTGAAAGTTTGCTGGGTCCTTGAGAAATCGTGCTCCATCATGTTCAGCAAACAAGTTTTGTAAAAAGCTGGCCGTGGATCTGATCCGCTGTTCCAGTCCCCCTGCTCTGTGCTGCCGAACGAAGATGGCTTGGATTACTTCAGCATGGGCACCGTGTTGCAGGCCCGGGCACGGTGGCCGCCATGGGGAGATGGAAACAAATTCAGACGAAGGCCTGTGTGGTGCTTTCTTGTTGCCCCTCGGACCACCCAAAACTGCTCCCATAGTGTTGAAAAGTGAACAGTGTCCTTGAGGTGCATTCAAAGAGGTTGACCTCATGCCCCAGTGGGACCTTCTTTTTGTTGGCTGGAATCTCGTTAATTCTAGCGATGATAAGAACATGTCAATAGCTCTCCTGCGAAAAGAATCGATGCTATTATCAAGGAAGAACGCACCCACATTGCTTATGATATAGCCTTTGCTGCTTTGTATTTTGCAAAGAGGGTAAACATGACGCAGGAAAGGCAAAAACTTGGCACGCATGTGCCGTGTCAAGCATCACGAGAGCAAATCTCCAAATCTATTTCCAAAATACTTTTTATCAGGCGTTCATTGATTCCCTCACCATCCTTGGGGCCAGCTGTTCAAGAAGCTGTCTCATTGGCTCCGAGCATCATATACAGGTCTTTTCTTTGTTCATCAAGAAGCCAGCGCCAAGCATTCGAATGGCTTGGCTCACTCGTGACAGCACTGTGACTCGCAGCTTTGACATCAATTTTCTTTGCCCAACAAATTCAACCACAGCATCAACACGAGACAGACATGAATCGTTTGATTTGTTTTGTCATTGAACGCATCCAAACAATGCGTCAGTCCTATATTGTTCGAGGACCAGAGCGAAGCTATCAAAGGCAAACGAAGTCCTATGTAGCGGGTGTGGAGCCGAGAGTAGTAGAGCAAGAAAGTAGACGATCAAACCCAAGGCACACCACCAACGAATTGAGGGGACGCACGCACGTGTCGCAGCCGAGAGCCCTTTTGGACTCATGAGAGTCCACCCTGCGGATGCAGAGTGGTGTCATGTCATGACAAACAGGTTGCACAGCATGCAACTCACACAGGCAGTGACCTTTGCCCTGCAAAACACATCTTGGTGCTCACAGGCCGTCTAGGTCCGCGAGCCAAGCAGCAACTTCGGTCTTGATGCTGCCACCCCAAGACTCCAGACTAAGTGGACAAAATAGACTGGAGATCTCCTGTCTCCACGATGGACGCAGGCTTCATCCCTGAGCCTGAAGGGGTTCTTGACAATGAGTTCGGTGGCCTGGAGGAACATGTGAACTTTCCACTCTGACGGCATGATTTCGTATGTTTTTGCTTCTATGTCGTGAAGAGCTGCGTGAAGAATCTCTTGTGTTGGATGGTTGTTTATACTTTCTGCGTTGGCGCAGGGCAACGCGTCTGATGTGCCTGGAGGTTCGTTTTTTGCCATGGCGCCGCTGACGATCACCTTGAACACTTTCTTTGTGGGCCGCGTGTCCAAGAAGGAGATCAAACCACAAACGGCCGAAAAGGACCCGCCTATCATCCCAGAACGTCTTCAGGGCAGCTGATGTCCATATAGTACCAGAAGGCAGCTCAAGGGCTGTTCCCCACATGTGCGCGCCGACCACCTTCGGCATGCTTGAGGTAGACGCGACGCCCGAACTTCAGACTCCGGTCATGATGATGGTGTCGAGCAGCGACAAGAGCCATCCATGGCGGTCAGGTCATGTCGACGAAGGCTTCAAGTGAGGTTGTCATCGGTCTCCTCGACCTGCTTGAGCACAGACGAAGCCACGCTCCTCTTGCTCGAAGTCACGCAACGTGTGGCCACCCCGTTGAGCGATGTCAGGTTCCGCAGTCTTGAGACAGAAGCCCGGCTTAATGCGTATGCGTTTCATGGCAAAGTCCATGGTCACGCCCAAGGCTTCAATGATCGTTGTTTGCGCAGCGCCATAGCGGCCACCCAAGAACATTGGCAAATGAGCTGACCAAGACCATGAGGGAAGTTGGACCGTCTGATCAGTGGCGAAGTTGCCATACAACACCTTGAGCGTGTCCTCAAACGCGTTGTCCTCCTCCAGCTTTTCCAATCCCCAGTCTTCGATCAAACGCCAGACCACACCCGTGAACGAGCCCACAAAGTTCAAGAGGCTCTCTCAGGGACATTTAGAGAGCAGCATTTTGTGGTGATAAAGCTGTATCCGGCCGTGCTCCGCCCAGAAGGGTGTCCAGCAAAGAACTCAAGAAACAGGAGCCCACCCCCTTCACGGGCCTTATTACGCTTCGCGCCATGCTTTTCGGAGGGCCGGGCGTTGATCCACGGATTCAGCCCTTGCACCGTTTCCCTGATGAATGGGATCTTCCCTGGGCCAGCACTTACCACGGCTCCTTGGTGGAACACGGAGATGTATATCATGATATATATATATATATACATCATGTGAGAGATTTGTCGACTACTGTCAAAGCACATTAGGAACCGTTTGATCGGTTTGCTACAGCCGTCCTTGTCGCGCGCGTTTATGTATGATTGCGGCGCTAGTGGAAGCAGAGTGCTTGTCACTGCTTAGGCTACCAGCCCCATCTTGGCAGGCGCTTTGGAGATCGAGGTGCTGCGTGAGAATCTCCTAGCGTCGGCAGTTTTGGTGAATGGCCGAGAGCCTTCTTGGACTCATGGGAGCTCACCCTGCGGACGCAGAGTGATGTCATATCATGAACAACAGGTTGCGCTGCGTGCAACTCACGACCTGTTTTGTAACTCTCAGTTTTTGAAAAGGCCTGAATCACAAGCTCTTCCATCCTAGTTCGCAGGACCAAACAGCAGTACCAAAATAGCCTATTGTTTTGGAATGCAACGCCCCGATTGGCGAATATTTTCTTTCAGTGGTCCAAGCCTTGTGGACCGCGGTTCCCTATTCTTTCCCAATCCTCTTTCAATGTGCCTTGGTCTCTGCTTCTCAATCAATCGTCTTCCGATCAGATCCAGTTTCCTTGTTTGCACTTGACTCCCGTTGACCCCCTTGTTTTCCGCTACAGCCTTGGCTGTGTTGTTGTTGTTGTTGTTGCGGTGGTTGTGGTTGTGGGTGGTTTTCTTTCACTTTCACAACATAGTTGTATTTATTGGAACCCTACTGTCCAGCCGCCAGCCCCTGGTTGTTTCTCTGATTTTGCGTGGATCCGTCGCTTCCAACCATGTCTCCTGTCCTATATGCATCTACGATAGTTTCAGATACGCTTTCCTGTTCCCGTAGTGTTTTGGTTTGAGCATCCGTGGATGAGCTACTCGAGCTGCAGACTCTTCTTTGGAACCCCCTACTGATCTTGAAGTGTTTGGCAAAGTGTGTTTTGAAGGCATTGTTTTTTGGAGGTGTTGGCATGTATCAGACTCGTTTATATCACGGAAGCCAGCCGGTAGGCTAGGCTTGAGTTTCCGGAGCGAACGAAATGAGTGAAGGGGTTGTGGGGGGGGTGGTTGCGTATGTGGTCACTTCCGGAGAGGTGAGCCCAGAGCCTGGTGGGGGAGGGCGACAAAAAGAGGCGGGCCACTTGGTAGTGAAAATGAATTAAATGAATTGTTTTTTGGGGTGTTGCGATGCCGGTGATGCAATTGACGGCCAGTAGTGCATCATCAGCATTATGAGGGGCTCAGGGGGCCATGCAATTTGTTTCTACTAGGGGTGGGAGTTCACGTCGATGAGAAGAAAGGGAAGACAAGGGGACGTGAAAAGTGGTTAGAAGTCACCCTGAGAGCAGGAAAGAGAACAGGTTGCAGTTGCGGGCAAGCGTTGGAGGCAGACGGTTTTGAGTTGCTTAGGGGTGCCCTTTTCTATCCGTGGCAAGCAAGGTCTAGTTGGTGGACTCAAAAGGGCGCCCCATATGGAGAGTATCTAATCACGAAAGCCAGCCGTCAACTCCCTTGAAACATAGACCAGCACACCATACCAAACCTTCCCCGGACTACACGGTTGCCTTTTTTCACCTCCACAACGCCCCGACATCAAGACGAAAAAGGGCACCCCGTCCCAAACCTATGTATTCTGCTGTCTATTTCCCTTCTTTTTCGAATCACGGCCATATCCACTTCACCACTTCCGGCTCCTCTTTGTCCACTCTACCTTTATACATATGTATCCTCACGAAAGCCTGCCAATAGCCATTCGCAACATGCCGCAGGCAAGCGCCCTTCACTTCCTTAGGGGTGCCCTTTTTGCCCTCCAAAACGCCCCTGAACCGGGACCCTGAACCGGGACAAAAAAGGGCACCGCCCCCCCAAAGCTATGTGCTCTACTTTCTGTTTCTGCCCCCTATCAGTGTGGCTGCGATGTCAACTTCACCCCATAAAAGTATTCTTTGCCCGATTTCAGCCAATCACTTCATCTTGCACGCCCAAGTGGCTGCAATATCAACTTCACCACTTCCAAATACATCTTTGCTCAATGATTCGCAACACACAGCAGGCAAGCGCCCCTCACTTCCTTCCAGGTGCCCTTTTTCACCTCCAAAACGCCCTGAACAGAGACGAAAAAGGACACCTTATGTATTCAACTCCCTGCTTCTACCCCCTATCGAGGTGGCTGCGATGTCAACTTCACCCCATGCAAGTACTCTTTGCCCGATGTTGCCCAATCACTTCATTTTGCACGCCAAGTCTTTGGCCAGGCTTGCCTTGAGGGCACCCCCCTAACCCAGAGGCTGGCTTTCGTTTCCTCCCTTCTCAGGTATATATACATATATATATATATATCGTCAATCCTGCGCGCTGGGAAGCCATTGAGTTCCTTCTTTTTTGGTGGACAATCGCTTGTAAAAAGGGTTTCGTTGGAAGCTTTAGAAGTTGGAAAGACACACCATTAGTAAATTACAAGGAAAACGTTGATTTTGAAGTGTAGGGACTTTTTTTGAGTTATATTTGGTACCAAGAGTCGCTTATTTAAGGTCTATTTGTCCACGTTCCCAAGTGGGTGTTTTTCCGCGTTTTCTATATTTGTTCCAAGCTGGTTTGCAGGACATCCGTGCGCTGATCAGTTTTGGCTTGGGCGCCCTGCTATGTGGCTGGGCTCGCTTGCAGGAGCATTTCTGGGGTAGAAAGATTTCATGGTGCGATGTTCTTCAGACTCTAGCATGTTAATTTGCTACAATCAAGGCAGGACATGCCCAACACCCAGAGTTCGGTCGGGGAGGCGATGGGGAAGATTGGCTGTGGAAGGTGGATTGCACTTGTGAAGTCGTTTGAACTTGCATAGGAGCTGAACAGCCGGGACCACATCGATCCCCTAGAGTCTGGGGCTGAGTCAGTTTTTTGATATAAAAAAGATGTGCCTCATTCCTGAGCGAGGCGCGTCCAGCTCTTTGTGTACATGATGTGACCAAATCATCAAACCAGGAACAAGCCAGAGCCTTAGTGGTGCAAGGAAACCTTTAAAAACAGAACTTGTTGCTTTCAACCCCCTTGGATATTCTGATGAATTCCAGATCTAACAGTGATCTGAAGATCTTTTTCCAGGCCAAAAGCCCACGGGCCGCGCGCTTCATGATTTTCCACCTGAAGTGCCCCGAACTTAGTTCAAGGTGTTTAAGCAATACGCTTCAGTGTTTGACACAGTTTTTCATCTAAGACGGGTTCATGCGGATGAGCACAGTAAAACATGCGCTTAGGTGCCCAAGTTGGCCGGACATTTTCTTGTTGCAGCTCATGTTCAGACATGCGACATGACAAGTGTCACAAGTGTTGGATGGTTCTGCCGACTTTCAAAACATCGCAGATTGATTTTTAGGCCAAAGCAGCATCAATTGCGGCTGCACGTGGCTGTTTTTGTGGGAGGCGAAAAGTCCATCAGTCCGACGTCCCTTTGATCAGGAGCCACCAGTGGCGGGTAACAGGTAAAATTCTCAAGATTGTTTGATGTGTGTGTGTGTGTGCACGTTGTGCAACCTGGGTTCGTGACATGTGTCACGTTCTTTACCGTTTACCTGTGCTCTTTTGCGATTGGGCCTGAAAAGGTCTGCGACAGCCCGCGCTCGTATGTGGACCTCGCTTTGCTGTTGTCGACTTTGGTTTCTTCACATGATGAGAAGAGCGTGTGGAGCATTCTAGACTGACAGCATTGTTCATTTATTAGCCCATGCTTTTCAAAAGCAATTCTGATGCTGTCCCAGCCCAAGAAAGCAGATCAAACTATTTTGGTTTGATTGAAGCCTTCACATGATTTGATGCTTTGTTTATGATTGAATCAGTCAAGTCCTAAGCAGGTGGCCTCCAAAGTCAAGGAAGGCATTTCAGATCTACAAAACCATGTGTTTGTAACAACAAGACGCAACACAGCAAGAGGGTATACAGTAGATCACATCATAGACGAGGCATGTCTCCTTTTCCTGGGCATGAGTTGACGCGCCAGGAGCGTTGCCAGTGACGCCAGTGGAATATTTGAATCTTTTTTTTTCTTAGTTTGATCGGTGGAAACCGTGTCCAGAAATGGCAAATTGCAAAGCGCTGTGCATCAAATGCAGTATCTTGTGAGGTGCAACAGTTTGAATGGATTGAAATGGATAGCTGAATGAATAACGTGTTGGAAGAGATGGTGCAGCGGTTTTGTGAATGCCGTGGTTCCACGCACTTCTTGGTCTCGAATATCGACCAAGTTGCGCCCTCGTCAAAGCACGGGGCTCTCAATCCCATGCTGAAATTGTCAAAGAGCATTCTTGATTGAAATTGAGAAGCAGTATCGTTTGCGCGGTATAGTTTTAGT